GGATGAGCTGGGACCTGTGTCCTCCTCCATGCTGTGCCACCCTCACTGTCCCCCACTTAGCACAGTCACTAGCTCTGTCTGCATCTAGCTCAGCTCTGCAGGGGACAGTGCCACCCACCTTGCTGCTGTGTTGTGACACTCTTGGGATACTCCAAGCCCACGGGAAGCAAATCCTACTCCAGAGTTTTGCATCCCTTCAGGTGAACCCAGCTAAAATAAAAGCTGCAAGCACTGCGTGGATGTGGGCCTGGCATCGTGTCCCCTCCCTTTCTCCTTAGGCTCCTGAGGATCTGGGCGTTGGAGCTGCGCTCTCCGGTCGCCTTTGCTCCCATGACCAACGGCCTGTGCTGCATGTACTTCCCGCACGGCGGTTTTATCGCTACGGGGTACGTATGTGAGAGAGGAGAGCAGAAAAACACGTGGCTCTTCCCTCCTCCTGCAGCTCTGGGTCTGCTCAGCAAGTTCTGAGCTTCCCTGGGGGATGCAGGCTGCTTTCCTGGCCTGGGGAATGTGTGGTTGCCACAAACCTGGGATATTTGAGGGTAATTAAGTTTTCACGAGTCCCTCTGCGCTGTTCTCACGGTTCGTTTGGGTCCCGTTGCAGGACCAGAGATGGCCACGTCCAATTCTGGACAGCTCCAAGGGTCCTCTCCTCGCTAAAGCACTTGTGTCGCAAAGCTCTGCGCACTTTCCTGACGACGTACCAGGTCCTCGCTCTCCCCATTCCCAGGAAGCTGAAGGAATTCCTCACTTACCGGACATTTTAAGGCAGCACGGGAATTGGAGGCATGGAGGGGAGAATCCTCTGCCCAGCGGCGGAGCTCGGCCTGGGGCAGAGGACAAGGACACACCACAGCGACGATGTCTCGCTGATTCGTGGGGCAGGAGGATTGCTACTCCCCTTGTTTTGGGGGTTGTGTCTGTGAATGTGGAGGGATTTTTTTTTGTGTGTAATAATACTAGAACCCAGCAAAAAAAAAAATGCATGCAGAGGGCAAGGGACACAGCTGCGGTGGGGACATGGGTCCCCTGTCCCTCTGCTATCTGCACATTTTGGGTCAGGTGCTTTAGCTTCCAAGTGCAATGTTGTGGGTTGTTAGCAGCTGCAGTCCAAGCCTAGCTTTTGTCCTACGTACAAATACTGGGGCTAAAAACCATCCCTGAAAAAAACAACCCTCACAGGGACCGGCTCGTGCTGTAGCTCAGTTCCTGGAGGGGTGTGGGCTCTGCTGCTCTCCTGGACTGGGCATGAGCTGGACAAACCCGAGCAGGTTTCTGTGGACAGGATGACAGCGATGACAGAATAAAATCATTCCTCACATCTTTTCTCTTGGCTTGTAGAAGTGACTTGGGTTTCCATCAGGTTGGGGCTCAGCCCTGGAGGTACAGCTGTTGGGCTGGCAGCAAGTGCTCACTCTGCTCTGAAGTGTAACGGACCAATAAGTGTTCAGTGGTGGGTACTGGGGAGAGTGAGGCCACCAGGAAGGTGGGACACGGGGCTTCACGCCGCTCCCAGCTGCTGTTCCTCTGTTGCTTTCTCTCCATGCTGGAGCTTGGTGCTCCAGGAGCCTGGGTGTCCAGACACGCTGTGGATGAAGCAGTCTCATGTGCTTGTCTCTCACCAGTTTAGCTGTTGTCTGGAGTGACAGCATGTGCGTTGTGTCCCCTACGTGATAATGGGCCACTTGGTCTGGGTGCAATCCCAAGTCTGTGACCCCAACTGATGGAGAAGATGGGGAATGTCTCCTCTAAACCACTCCCTGGGATGTTTTCCCTTGTGAGCAGCTTGAATGCAGAAAGCTGGTGTTCCCTTAACCCATAGAGGTGTCACCCACAACTGTCTTCCCTCTTGTCACAGGGCGGGGATGTCACCACAAGAAACTGTGCTGTCCCTGTGAGGCTCACTGTGCACATCTGCCCAGCTCGGCTGCATGAGCCACGGCGCTTGTACCACCCAGGGCAGCTCTGCCCTGCGAGGAAGGGAGGTTCTGCAGGCAGGTGACAGCAGCCTGTGTGCGTGTGACACCTTTGCAATGGGACAGGGCTGGAGCCTCTGCCACCTCCTTGCTGTAGAGGAGAAAAAAAGACAAGTGCAACCTGCTTTAGAGGGATGTGTATTTCCCGATGAAGCTTAGAAACAACACTGCCCGACTCTCGTGCCCCAGCTGCGGGCTCAGGGCTTGCAAAAAAGGCAACAAAAAGCTTCAGGGAGCAGCTCCGGGCACGGGAACGATGATCCCTTCCAGCTTCTGCGAGATCTGGTGTCACACGTGAGGATCCACCCAGCAGGTCTCAGGCTTCAGCCACGATCAGGTCCCTGGTGACTTGGAAAGCGGCGATGAGGGAGCTCAGCTGGATCTTTTCACTGGTCCCAGCAGCCAGGCGGTACCTAGAGCAGGGGGTAAGGGCAGGGTCGGGTGTTTACACCAGTGTCTGCGTCCCAACAAAGTGACAGAGCTGGGTGGGATGGATGCGCAGGTGCTGGGGGTGTCTGCCAGCAGTGCCCACCACAGGACCTGGCACAGTGTGGGTAGCAGTGGGCACGCTGGCAGCCCCCTCACCGGGGTGTTTTGGGACAGGAGAGGGGACACGTACTCGATATCTGCCATTTTGATCAGCAGCTGGATGCGGATGGAGGGTGGGAAATCGACTGTGGAGAGAAGGACACGGTGTGCATCAGCATGGGCTGGGGAGGGATGGTTGTCCCTCCTGGGGTCAGCCAGGAGCCAGCCCCACGAGTCCCCACCTCTGTGCACAAACAGGTGGATCTCGGTGAGGATGTCCTGCAGAGCCAACCCCTTCAGCGTCTTCAGCTCCATGATTTCTGATTTGAGAGTGAGTGAAGGGCTTTCTTCCAGGTTTTTCCCGGCAAGATCCCACTCCTCATCCCCACAACAACCCTGAGGACCCTCCCCAGCAAGCAGCAGCCACCTCAGCAGGAGCAGGAGCCCAGAGACCAGGAAGCCCTGGTGAAGAGGAGGATATACAGCAGCGGGGATCAAACCCCAGGGCTGCGGGAGGGACAAGGATACTGCGATAGGCGGTGGAAAAGTCCTGGTTCAGCATCCAGTCGAGGATGTTGGCGATGTCAGACTTGAGGGGGTGTCCTGTGCAGGTGTAGACGTTCTCCTCCGTCACCATCCCAAAGGCCATGGTGGTGCTCTGAGGAAGAGGAGGGTAGAAGAGGGATGAAGAGCTTGGCCCTTCCTCCACCAACTGCTCCAGGGCAGCTGCCTGTGTGGGGCTGACCATGAGGGGACAGTGGCCATGGCCACAGTCTGCACCTGCAAGATATTGAGGGCTCTGCGCATGTCACCATTTGAGAGAGTCACCAGAGCCTTCATCCCATCCTCTGTCACATCCACCCTGGAAAACAAGACCTGGGGCTGCAGAGGGATCCAGCGCTGCCAGAGGGAGACAGAACCGTGGCAAAGCAAACCCGCTGCTCCTCCTTGAGTAGAGAAATGGGGAGAAAGGGGGGTTGGAGGAGCCCCCCGTGCCCCCAGCTCTCACCCCTCCTCCTGTATGACGTGCTGCAGCCGGGGCACCATCAGGTCCGGGGTGAGGGGACCGAAGCGGAAGCGCGTGCAGCGGGACTGCAGGGCGGGGATGATCTTGGAGAGGTAGTTACAGATGAGGCAAAAACGGGTGTTTTCTGTGAACTTCTCAATCACTGCAAAGGGAAGTTGGAAGATTGGATGTGAGGAAGAATTTCTTTGCTGAAAGGGTTCTGAGGCATTGGAAGGGGTTGCCCAGGGCAGGGGTGGAGTCCCCATCCCTGGAGGGATTGAAGAGTCGTGTAGACACAGTGCTGAGGGACATGGGTTAGTCATAGGGGACTTGTCAGTGTTGGGTTCATGGTTGGACTCGATGAGCTTAAGAGGTTTTTTCCAACCTTAATGATTCAGTGATCCTAGGAAGAGCCTGGTCCTCATGTGTCTCCTCATACAGGCTCCCACCCCACACCCAGCTGGGAAAGGCTGATGGGGTGCTGAGGGCGTGGGGTACCCAGTGCCCCTCACCTCGCCTCAGGGCGTTCTGAGCATCCTGGGTCATGGCATCAGCTTCATCCAGGATGACGAGTTTGAAGCCTTTCCTTAAAAAGGGAGAAAAAAAGGGGGTGGCTTTGGCCCTGGCTGCTGGCTTGGTGCTGGAGAAGGGGGAGCGGGGGACACTTATTCCCAGTGTGACCCCCACCGGACCAGCATCCTTATCCCTCATCCTTACCACACTCATCCTCCCC